CTTTCCTTGTGTCTTCAGAAGCTCCTTGGATAGGTGGATACTATTATTACCCTATTTTACAAATGAGGACAGTGAGGCCTAATGGACAGATGAGGTCAGTTTGCCGCAGGTCAGTTTCCTGGCAGATGTGTTCTTAAACTGCCATGCACCCCCAGCATGACCTTTGTTTGGGACTTTACAGTTTAAAAAGGTGGGAAACTTCTCAGGCAAGCTTGAGGAGTTCCAATGCTTTCACAAAGGAGGAGGCCGAGAGAAGGCGGAGAGAGGTGGTGGTGAAAAGGGCAGGTGGGGGGAGGAGCAAAGCTTGACTGGTTTCACCATCCTGGCTTCGTCTCAGGCTTTTGCAGTGGGTCTCTTGGCTTCCTTCGCTGTCCTTCCAAAACCTGGCAGAGGCGGGAGAGGGATCCAGGCCTGAGGCCTGAAGAGCTCTGCCCAGCTCTGCGCCTGCCTCCCTCGACCTTGGTGGATCCGTATGTCCTCTGAGGCCTCATTCCTGTAAAATGGGCCTGACCAGTGGCTCTCACTGAGGACCAGATCCCTTGGGAGCTTTGTTAAAGCACACAGGACCATTCAGAGTCTGGCACCCACTCCTGGTTAAGAACCTCAGGCTAGGTGTTCTCGGAGGCCCCTTCTTATTCTGAGAGGCCATGGTCATCTGTAATTACTAAAAATAAGAGACCAAAATAAAATAGAGGAAGCTGAGAAGAACTAATATAGCTGCACATCCACAATCCTTTATCTGAACCCGTGGGGTCAGATGTAGTTTGGAATGGAGAAGTTTTTCAGATTTTAGAAAAGCAAGTCAGTGCATTACTGTGTAATTCTTCCAGCGGGGATTGAGGATGCACCTTATAATCAAGCAATGAATATTTCTGCAAACATAAATATTCACACTAAGTGGAATAAGTAGGGGCTTTAATAGCCTCTAGTCACTTCAGATCAGGTTTGGCTGCCAGAGAAGCTCACTGCAAACTACAGGAAAACATTGGTTTGGGAATGGTGGGTCTGGGATTGTGGAGCTGCACGCTCATTGGTATCAGCTGCCACACTGGGCAAGGGCTAGACATTTGGAGCTCTGGGGACGGTGGTTGGTGCCATGGAGTCGTGAATGCCTCACTCAGTGGCATTTGTTCATGTGTCCCCAGGAATGGTGAGGATCGGATCTGTCCCAAATGCAAAGGGGATGGCACACCATCTGAAAGGCCAGGAAGCCTTCTGTCTCAGGAGCAGGTAAGTTGGCACTGCCAGGAAAGACTGTCAGTTGTCTCCGTTGGCAGGGGAAGAGGCCAAGTAGGTATCTGCCCAACTAGTCCCTGCCAGGTGGCTCCTTCCTTGTCTGAATCTAGACTGAATTCATTTTGTCAGCAGTGAGGAGACTGACATTTGCGGTGGGGAAGCAACTTGCCCCAAGCCACCTGGCCAACCCGTGACAGACTCAGGGTGAGAACAGCATCTAGACAGGGGTCAACACACCACAGCCTGCGGGCCTAACTCAGCCTGCTGCCTGTTTGTACAGCTTACGAGCAAAGAATGGTTTTTATGCTTAAAAGGTTTCTAAAAATTGAAAGGAGAATGAGATTTTGTGACACATGAAAATTATAAGGAATTCAAACTTCCAGGTCCCTAGATAAAGTTATATTGGTTCACAGCCACAACTCACTCATGTATATATGCCTTGCGTGTGGCTGCTTTTTTAATTTTAATGTTTATTTATGTATTTATATTTATTTGGTTGTGCCAGGTCTTAGTTGCAGCAGCCAGGCTCCTGAGCTGTGGCATGCGAACTCTTAGTTGCAGCATGCATGTGGGATCTAGTTCCCTGACCAGGGATTGAACCTGGGCCCGCTGCATTGGGAGTGTGGAGTTTTATCCACTGTGCTACCAGGGAAGTCCCTGTAGCTGCTTCTGTCCTAAAACAGCAGAGGTGAATAGTTGCAACAGAGGCCTCACAGCCCCAAATATTCACTATCTGGCTCTTGACAGAAAAAGTTTGCCAACTCTCGACCTAGACAGTTCTTTCTGGCCCTGTTTGCCCTCAGACAGGGACAGGCCATCCTCATCTCACTTCTCCAGCTCTGCCAAACCGTGCTTCCAGGAATAAGATGCAACTTTGGTAGTGTGAGGGGCCAAAGAGATACCCTCAGGCATCAGTTTAGAACCCCAGCCCTTCTGAGCTGGAGAAGGACCCTCGCAGGTAATCTGTCCAGCCCAGAGGTTCCTACATGTTGACCAGCACTGGTCCATTCCCACCAGTTCATGACAAAAATGATAAAAATAAATAAATAAATAAGGAAATTGTTATGAGTTTTTCTTATAAAACTAAATTCTTTCCATTTATAGAGTCAACCTTTACTCTGAGATGATGCCCTTCCTATTCATGTCTTTGTATAAAGGAAATGATCATGATAGGTGATAGAACTCGGGGTAAAGCCTTTATTTAGTAAAATTTTAAAATGGCAATCTTTATGTTAAATCTCCTAATTTGAAAAGCAAACAAACTGGTATAGGTCTGTGAATCCAAAGCTTTAAGAATCCCTGCTGTAAATCTAACCCCCCCTTACACATGGGCCCCGACACCCACAGGGGCGTCTCATTGCAAAGCTCCCTCATGACCAGGGTCTCGCCAACTTGGCCACCAGCACTGTCCACACTGTGAGGCACCGGCTCCTTTCAACCAAAGCTCCACCCTTGCCCGAACCATGGCCCAGGGGTCAGGAGCCTGGTGTCTGAGGATGGCTTTATAATTCAGTACATGGCTGAGATGACTCCCCTGTCTCCACTTGTAAAGTGAAGATGCTAGGTTGACTGTGCAGGGTCTTTCCAGCACCTGCAATGTCCCATTGCCAGTCAGTGGCTGGCAGGGCGGCTCTCCCTCCCGCTGTGGAACCAGAGGCAGGCAGGTCTCCAGGCCTCCTTACCCCTTCTCCGCTCTGGCCTCTCTCCTGCGGAGAGTTGGAGGAGTTTCCTGTCCCACCAGAGCTGGTTTTGAGGGCTTTCCTGTCTTCCTGTCAGCAACCCTCTCCCCCCACAGGTCCTCAAGGGAATAATAGTAAGGATCCAGTGCATTTCCCCAGAACTTTATACTCTACAATGTGGTTAAGAGCTAATAGGATTAACACCCATGGAATAACTTTCCAAGCCTCCCTATTTGAGCATCTTTGTACTCCACCCTCAAAAGAGAGGACATGGGCTAGATGCTTTCTAAGGCACCTGCCTGCCCGAAGGGATCAGGGCTATTGTTTTGACGTGTTTTATTCTTGCCTCTTAACAAAATGAATACAGATTCATTGTACAAATCTTAGATAACATAAAGATGAGATATTTTAATATCTCTCAACCCAGTAGTCTTAATTTTTTCACCTTTGTTAATGTGAAATCAGATGAAAGTAGAAGCGTTCTGATTAAAGGGGAGCCTGGAGCCCTGTCCTTTCGGTTACCCCACTTCCTTCTCCTGTCCCAGCCCCTCAGAGACACTGGGGATTCCTAGGGCCCTGCAGAGCACAGTTTGAAACTTGCTGCCTTAAACCAAATGAAGTGACTCTAATGATGGAATTACAGGCACTGAAACAGGCTACAGAGTGGGAGGAGGGTACACCCCCAGTGGAAAGCTGGGGGGTGGGGTGAGCCAGTGGTCTGACACCTGCACAAAGCCACAAGTGGAAAGACCAGGGACTCCTTCAGCTTCTGACCCAGTGGGAACTTTGGGGGGACTTTTGACCAAAGGAAAGCAGCTGATTATAAATCAACACTTTGCATACGTGGTGATTCTGCAGTTTGTGCATCTGGGGAAACCTGGGAAGTGAAGGTGGGGTGGACAGGCCGGGCCGGAGACCAGCTGAGCTAAGCCCCGAGGTGCCCATTCTTGCAACACTTTCCATGCCATCTGCTTATCAGTTTGTCCTCCTCCTCTGACTTCATTTGATTAATGTCTCTCTAAGACGTGCTCAAAGCCCGAGACCAATTAGCTCATGTAAGAAGCAGATATTAAAGGATAACTGTTGACCTGGTTAGAGACTTAGTTCTTGCCTAGAATGACCTTCCTACAGAAGTGACAATGAAGCAGGGGACGACCCGATGTCTGGGAAATAGCAGTCAATTCTGTCTGCCTGAGACCCTGTGAATGGGATTGTTTCTCTCACTCTCTTCCCTCTGAGGTCACTCAGGAAGGTCAAAAGCAAGCTGGCATCTGCTGCCAGTGGCTAACAAGAGTACCTTAAATTATTCTAGAATCAGAAAATGATAGGAGGTCAAGCTGTCTAGTCCAATTTCCGTTCTCTACTGGATTCCTGCCAAGTGGCTTTGTGTCCTTCCAGTGACGGGGAGCTCATTACTGCATGAAACCACCACTTCCACCATGGGGAACTAACTGTTGTACGATTTTCCTCTTTCTTTGTACTGAGCGGAAGTCTGTCTCCCTTGGGGCCACAAAAAGTCAGTCAGCCTCCTGTCCCCTGAGGCGGTCCTGAGTCTGTGGAAGGACGCCGACCACGTCCATCTTGAGTCTGTCCTCAGCCTCTGTGCATATCTGTGTCCTTTGAAATGCAGTGCCTGGCAATGAACCCCCTTACACTTCGGAGCTTGACAATTGCATCTGTAACCTTATCGATCCCGTGACATCCTGTGTCATGGGCAGTGGTGTACCCCTATTTCACCAGTGGGTAATATATCGAGGTTCAGTGAAGAGGTGTGCCTGCACCAGTCATACAGCAAAGGGGGGGGCAGAGCCAGGCTCCCACTCCTGCCCCTTAGGCTGCTGACATCTCTCTGCTGCCTCCAGATGGTGGATCACCCCCAAATGTTTTGCACAGGTTTAAATACACAGTCAGCCTTAAATGCTGGAATCCACCAAATGCTGTGGAAACAGGAATGGGCAAGACTTCTTTCAACTAGGGGAATCAGGCAGGACTTCCTGGAGGAGGTGGCAGTTGAGCCAAGCAGAGGTTGCCAGAAAGGAAACTGACTCAGGTACAGAGGCGGGCAGGAACTGGCGAGCGGACTGAGTCCACCCTGTTACTGTCGAGTGTCTCTCCCTCAGCACTAGCTGAGACCCAAGCAAAAACAGGCCCTCCAGGCATCCAAGACCTTGGCCAGCCTCAGTGCCCAGCACAGCAGCGTGGGAAGTGCCTGGCACATTGCAGACCCTCCGCTCTGTGCAGTAGCTTCACGGAGGCAGCTCTCATGCTCCCGGCACCCTCTTGACACTCACATTCTCGGAGGCCCCCAGGTCCCCAAGTGGGGGCCCTTTGATGGAGCTCTCTGCTGACCCTGTCACAAAGGGCCTGGGTAAGCAGGGAAGCTGGGAACACCACACACCCCCAGACTTCTCGGACGTGGACAGAAGGACAAGTGTTCCCTCAGGGCTGGGATTTTGTTTTTTCTGTTTCCTCCTCAGAGGAAATTCCACTGCGAATTTTATTTTTAGCAGTTTGCAAGCAATGAGACCGCTCACACAGGGGCCTCCTGTGGCACCAGACAGGCACAGGCTTGGCTCAGGACAGATGTCCCGTTCCTCCTCTGCGACCCCAGCCCCTTCCCTCTCCAGTCCCCTCGGTCCCTGGACTTCAGATGAGGCTACCCTTTAGTCAAGGTGAGGACTCCTGGTGGGGAGGAAGGACGCTGGACGTAGATTCCAGGCTCCTGGCCTCTGCCACAGCCTTGCCCCAAACTTGCATCCTGCAAGTCACCGGCCATCTCAGCTTCCTCACCTACACGAGAGGCAGAACCTCAAAGCCCCGACCTCCTCCTCGTGGCCCTGGGAGATCCGGTGGGGCTGTGCTCACACAGGTGTGGAGAGAGCAGCAAGCCCGGAAGGGCTCGTAACTGGGGGACAGAAGACCCGGATTGAGTCGGCTTCTCACATGTGCAAGCTTGCTGTGACTCGCCCAGGTTTCCCACCCTGTATTAAGGTGAAACTAATCCCCCCCTGCCTGCCTCAAAGGATTATTGTAAGGATCCTATGAGGTAGCTTGCAGAAATGCTTTGGTCCTGTATAAATACAAATGCATTTAGGGACGTTCCTTACCTCTACCCGCCCCCAAGGAAACCCAGTTGGAAAATAGGGTTTTACAGAATTAGTTATTAAGAGTTTGAGATGTGAGGATTAAATGAGACGCATGTATGTGACAGCCATTAGCAAAAGGAAAAAGATGTCCCAAGGGCAGTGCTTAATCCATAGGAATAATTTTGCTAATAATAGTACTACTACTAATCATGGGTAACATTTACTGAGCACCGCGTCAGGCAGAATGATGCTCCCCAAAGATGTCCACATGTTAATCCCCGGAACCTGTGAATATGTTAGCTCACACAGCTCTATTAGTCTGCTCGGGCTGCTGTAACTAAGTACCACAGACTGGGTGGTGTGAACAACAGAAATCTGTTTTCTCACAGTTCTGGAGGCAAGAAGTTCTAGACAGAGTTGGTTTCTTCTGAGGCCTCTCTCCTTGGCTTGTGGATACCCTCTTCTCCCAACATCTTCCCATCATCTTCCCTCTGGATGTTTGTGTCCTAATTTTCTCTTCTTATAAGGACACCAGTCATATTGGAGTAGGGCTCACCCTAATGACCTCCTTTTAACTTAGTTACCTCTTTTAAAGACTCAATCTCCAAATACAGTCATGTTCATGGGGGCTAGGACTTCCCCATATGAATTCAGGGTGGGGAGGCACTACTCAGCCCATAACGATGGCGAAAGGGACTTTGCAGATGTGATTAAATTAAGGGTCTTGTGATGGGGAGATGCCCCTGGCTTATTTGGTGAGCCTATTGTTATCACAAGGGCCCCCAAAAGAGGGAGACAAGAGAATCAGAATCAGAGTGAGATTGGAAGATGCTCTGCTGCTAGCTTTTAATATGGAGGGAGGGACCCTGAGCCAAGGAATGCGGGTGGCCTCCAGAAGCTGGAAAAACAAGAAAACAGGTGCTCACCTTGGACCTCCAGAAGGGGCACGATCCTGCTCACTTTTAGGACTTCTGATCTCCAGGTCTGTAAGATAATATTGGGCTGGCCAAAAAGTTCCTTCGGGTTTTCCCATGACATGAAAACCCAGAACGAAATTTTTGGCCAACCCAAAAAATGTGGGTTGGCTTTTTGTTGTTGTTGTTTGTTTGTTTATTTATTTGGTTGCGCCAGGTCTTAGTTGCAGCTCACGGGTTCCTTAGTTGTGGCTCGCTGGCTCCTTAGTTGCAGCACGTGGGTGGGCTCCTTAGTTGCGGCATGCATGTGGGATCTAGTTCCCTGGCCAGGGATCGAACCCAGGTTCCCCGCATTGGGAACGTGGAGTCTTAACCACTGTGCCACCAGGGAAGTCTCAATGGGGGTTGTTTTAAGCCAATAAGTTTGTGGTATTTTGTTATAGCACAAGAGGTCACTCATGTCAGAATTTACATATATTATGGCATTTAATCCTCACCATAACTCTATAAGGGGGAGTTCTGTTATTATACTCATTTTGCAGACTGGGAAACTGAGACATGGAGAAGTTAATAACTCTCCCAGGGCCACATAGCTAGTGTGTGAAGTGACAGAGATGCGCTTTGCACCCTGACAGGCTGGCTCCAGAGCCCAGCCCCTTAACCCTGGAAAGCACCCCAAGGAATGAGAGACTGAGTGACTGATGGTGGGACTCTGGGCAGCCTGGCTGGCGACCAGCGGCCTCTCAAGTTACCCCCTGCCCTCCTCTGCCAGACATGAGAGGCTGCTCCCAGCCCACTCCCATTGTACATGGTAATAAGGATGTCCGCTCCACCCATGTAGCACTTGCCAGCCTGCATGGGCTTTCATTGCACAGACACACCACAGGGCTCAGATGCCAAAGGAACATGTGCCTCTCCACCTGTGGGCGAGTCTGGACTCCCACCGTTAGTTCTATCACTTTCACCTTTTTACCTCCCTCTGACTCTCACTTCAAGCATATACCCTTAGAATGGCAGAGGATTCGAATCATGGGCTCGTAGGGAGTTTCAGGGCCTGAGAGATGACCCCTTGTGCATTCGCCAGGTTCCTCATTGGCCTCAGGCCCTCCATCCTTCCCTCATGTCGGGAACTACCTTCTGGGACAGGCTGCATCACCGGGCACTTTCCAAAGCCATTGCAGTCTCCCTGACAAGGCTACCCACCCCTCCCCAGTAAAACATCTGTTTTCTGTTCTTTGTTGGGAGCAAGTTGTGCTTGAACCCCGGGGCAGTGGGGCAGGGTGGGGGGCGGCCTTTTGCTGGGCTGCGCTCTGTGTCCCAAACCAACTGTACTCATTAAGCCCACAGCTCTCACTTATTGTACTTTTAGAGAATAATAACTAGTGTGGCTTTGTATTTTGCTCAGCCCAAAAGACCTCTGTCCTCCCCTCATTTCATCCAAATCTCCCTTCACATCACCCCATGAGGTTATTCTTAAAAACAACAACAAAGCTCTTGGAAAATCAAGAGATTATTTACGTGTAATAAAATTCACTCATTTTAAGTGTACAGATTGATGAATGCTGGGAAATGTATACAATCGTGTGACCTGCAGTCAGGAGGGTGAATTTTTCTGCACCAGAAAAAGCTTCCTTGTGCCCTTGTTTAGTCAGTCTCCTCCAGCTGCAGCCCAGGAAGCCACTGGTCTATTTTCTGTCACTATAGTTTTGCCTTTTCTAGAATCTTGTAAGAATAGAATCCTAGTATGTAGTCTTTGGTGTTTGACTCTTTTCATTTAGCATGTTTTGAGGTCCCTCCATGTTATTGCACATATTAGTAATTTAGTCCATCTGACTGCCGAGTAGTGTCCTGGAGTATGGACATACCACACTTTGTTCATCCATCCACCAGTTGATGGATGCTTGGATTGCTGCCAGCGTGGGCCTATTATGAGTAAAGCTGCCATGAACATTTACATACACCCGGACATATTTTCACTTTCTCTTGGGTAAATTCCTAGGAGTGGAATGTGTGGGTTGTCTGATAACTTGATAAGCACGGTCTTTGTAAGTATGATTTAACTTTATGAGATACTTCCATAGATTTTCCCAAAGCGGTTGTACCATTTTGCATTCCCACTAGCAACCTATGAGTGTTTCAGTTCCTCCCCGTTCTCACCAAAGCTCGATATTATCGTTCTTTGTAAATTTTAGCCATTTAGTGAGTGGACAGTGGCATTTCGTTACAATTTGCATTTCTCTGATGACTGGTGATGTTGAACATCTTTACATAGGCTTGTCATTTGTATATCTTATTTTGTGAAGTATCTGTTCAGTATTTTACCCATTTTGTATTAGGTTGTTTGTCTTATTGAATTGTAAGAGTTCTTTATATATTCTGGATATAAGCCCTTTCCAGGTCTATGTTTAGGAAAAAATGTTCTCCCAGTCTCTCCTGGGCTTCCTTTTTTTTTTTGCGGTACGCGGGCCTCTCACTGTTGTGGCCTCTCCCCTTACGGAGCACAGGCTCCGGACGTGCAGGGTCAGCGGCCATGGCTCACGGGCCCAGCCGCTCCACGGCACGCAGGATCTCCCGGACCGGGGCACGAACCTGTGTCCCCTGCATCGGCAGGAGGACTCCCGACCACTGCGCCACCAGGGAAGCCCTGGGCTTACTCTTGATAAGAGATAGAGACATGGGGTAGGAAGATCCCTGGAGCTGTGCTGCTTCCTAGCTGTTCCTCCTTGAGTAAATCCCTGCCCCTCTGTGAGCTTCAGTTTCTTCATCAATCAGATGGGAACAAAAAACCTACCCTGCTATCCCCAAGTGTCGTCAGGGGCCCTAGGAAGAATTATGACTATGAAAGCATTTTGTAAACTCCTCAGACTTATGCATAGGTTAACAGTATTGTCAAGTTGCTTGTTAGAGGCCCTCACAGAGCCCCCAGACCAGTGGGCGCAACCAAAAAGTAAATGATGATTACAGGGCTGAGTGGAACACGTCCCATCAGGAGAGGTGGCAGCGCTTCCCAGGACCACAACAGGGGCCCTGCTCTTGTTCTGAAGGAGAGTTACAGGCAGCTGAAGCAGAAGGAACAGCATGTGCAAAGTTTTGTGGCCCCAGCCCAGCTCATGCCTGGTGGATGCTGGTGCTTTGCAGAGAGCCCCAGTGCCATTGGGAGCCCCATAACATCCAGTGACATGGTTCTTATTTCCAGGATCACCCCGAGGTGGCTGAGGCTGGAATTGGGTGTCCCTTTGCAGGTGTTGGCTGCGCCTTCAAGGTAAGCATCTGAGTGTGAGAGAAGAGATCTGTACACTGCAGTCTCAGACCTTCCCATCAGTCCCTCCGGGATGTTCCCACAACATCAAGCTACGCCTCTGCATGTACCTTACATGACTTTCCCAGGCAACAAAATCACTAGTAAATCATCTTTGTACTCAGGGGAGTTCTTCTTAATATCTCACCTGGGCATTGTAGCATCACAAAAATGACCACCGCCCGCACCCCCAAAAACCCCTTTGCCTCTCTCCATGGTCCTGAATCATCACTGTGCTCAAGGGCATGGCAGAATTGTTGCTCTGGAGGCTGGGATGGACACAGCTCACCATGGGTATGTCTCATGCCAGGGTCCTTCTCCGAATCCCTCTTGCTGTACACTTCCCTTGGCCGGGTGAATGGATATGACTTCCCTTGGCAACCTTTGGTGGCAGGACTCTCCACTGCTCCCTGGTCCTCTTTCCCCCTCTGTTTTCACTGATCAGCCCCACTCTCTTGGCAGGGGGGCCCAAAGTTCATGCAGGAGCATGAGGTCACCTCCCAGGCTACCCACCTGAACCTGCTGTTAGGGTTCATGAAACAGTGGAAGGCCCAGCTGGGCTCTGGCCTGGGGTCTGGACCCATGGCCCTGGAGCGGAATCTGTCAGACCTGCAGCTGCAGGGGGCTGTGGAGGCAGCTGGGGACCTAGAGGTGGACTGCTACCGGGCCCCCTGCTCCGAGAGCCAGGAGGAGCTGGCCCTGCAGCACTTCATGAAGGAGAAGCTCCTGACTGAGCTGGAGGGGAAGCTGTGCGTGTTTGAGAACATTGTCGCCGTCCTCAACAAGGAGGTGGAGGCCTCCCACCTGGCCCTGGCCGCCTCCATCCACCAGAGCCGTCTGGGCCGTGAGCACATCCTGAGCTTGGAACGGAGGGTGAGCATGGGAGGCATGTTTACCCTCAAGGCAGCTCAGGGCCGCCCGCCCCCCCACCCCACCCCGCCCACCACCCCATCTTGTCTCCAGAGCAGAGGACCAGCCTTCCTGCTAAGCATTCTCCCTGCGCAGACCAGTCACTCCTCCTTCAAAAATCTCTCTCCTGCATCCCACGGCCTTCTAGGAAGAGGACTGAGTCAGAAGTTATAGTCAAGGTCAAACTCCCCCGTCCAGTGCTTCCTTTCCTTTGCTTAAACTTCTGCAATAGACTGTTCCCACCCCAAGCATCTCATTCCACAGCTGGACATTTTGCACCACTATAAAGTTCTCCCTCATACGTAACTAAAATCAGCCTCCTGTGTCTTCCCTGCCCCTCGGGGCCCCCAAAACATCTGACTTCTAGCCCCCATGGAAGCCCTTCAGAGATGAGCAGTCAGTAATAATATCCTGAGTGTTTCCTTTTTTAGGCTAAACACCCCCAGTGCCTTCACTACTTCATCAGAGCACATTGTTTCATGCTGTCCTCATATGTGCTGGCTCAGCCTCTAAAGGATTCCACACACTCAGAGTGGTGGTGTCAAACCACCAGATAATCCACTTATCTGACAGTTCTTGGTTGCGCCAGACTGTCCCCTCCTTTGTTCCAGAGCTTATACTTTTCTTAATATAACCAGTCACAATGTTAATGTTGCTTTTTGGGGGGGCAGCAACATTACTGCGCTGTCTCATGTTGAGTTAGGCCTGGAATTTAGTTCCAGGTCCACCATTAACTTGCTATATAGATCTGGGCAAATCACAGGACTGCAACTTTCCCATCTGTAAAATTAGGGCTTCAGTTTTCTTTAAGGACACTCACTTCCATTCCTGACTTCCCTACCTGAGTACACCCAAGAATAAATTTGTATTCTTTCAAATGTCAGTGGAGGAACCTACCGGAAGAGCCAGGCACTGGGTTTGAGCGGCGAAGTAAAGGATTTATTTATGTAACTCTTGCCCCAGTTGGAAGGTGATGGCCTCCCCGAGGGCAGTGACTATCTTCAGTTCATTAACGAATTTCCTGGCTCTACTCTTACGTGCCAGGCACTGTGCAAGGCATGGACACAGATAAAATGAGCATGGGCCCAGCTGTTGATAAGGGAGACCATCTATCCTGTTGGAAAGGCAGAAAAATATATCTCAGATGGTTGTAAAGCCTCTATAAGATCGAAGATGAAAGAGAAACCAGCTGAGCTAGGGCAGTGGTTAAGTGTTTCACAGAGGAAGAACTCTGTGAGCCAGGTTCCTGAGGGACGAACAGGAGTTGGCCAGTGGACAAGGAAGGGAAAGGAATCCCAGGCAGGAGGGACGGCATGTACAAAGGCAGATGCACATGGCTGAGGGAGGCAAGGAAAGCAAATTCGGGGGCAGCTCTGTCTCTACATCCCGCTGTCCCCATCCCACCACCAAGCTGGGTTCTGATGCCCTTGGCTGAATGGGCTTCCCCGCCCCAGGTGATGGAGCTGCAGCAGACCTTGGCCCAGAAAGACCAGGCCCTGGGCAAGCTGGAACAGAGCTTCCGCCTCATGGAAGAGGCCTCCTACGACGGCACCTTCCTATGGAAGGTCACCAGTGTCACCAGGCGGTGCCATGAGTCAGCCTGCGGCAGGACTGTCAGCCTCTTCTCCCCAGGTAAGGCCACCCTGGGGGCACAGACACCAGCTGGGGGAGGCGGGCAGGGGTGGGGGGTGGGGGGCGTGTTCCGCTCTGACAGGCGGGCTGCGTCCAGTTAGGCCAATGTCCATTCAGGCCCCCGGCCCTACCAGGCCCGCGGAGGTAGTAGGCCCCTCCCCGCTCAGCCGCGTGGATCAGGGGCTGTTTGCACCAGGCATACCTCCCTGGACATCCGTCATGGTCTGCAACTAGGAATAAAATGATGTACGTTGTGTGGATATCGGTTGTGAAAGAGAGTGCGCTGTGAAGCAAAGTTTGTGCAGATGCGAGGGAAGCCCACGGTGACTTTCACAGGTGAATGCCATGGGCCCCCACCCTCAGAGACCCCGTGGTCTGAAATAAGACAAGTGGAGAACTCTCTGTGTACCACTGTGGGGAGCACGTGATTGAGTATTGTGTACACTGGGGCAGTTCTTAGTCATTTCTGGGGCCCCTGGGCCTGGCACGATGTCTTGCATAAAGTAGGCAGTTACTCGGTTGTTGTTTCTCCTAATTAACTGCTAGCTGTCTGTATAACAATGTGTATATTTGTGCTCAGACCTGTGTGCTTTCCCCCTGGCCTCACTCGCGTGCCTCTAAGTAAACGGGTGGGTTGTTAAGGAGGATTTCTGCCGATGGCAGTTTTAACCACCACTCACATCTGCTCCAGCCTCATGCCTTTCCCGGCCATCTGCTCCTCTGACACACCCAAGGTCAACAGTGCTGGGATTCAGAGGGGCATGGGAGCTTGCCCCACACCACAGAGCAGGCTGGGTCCCAAAGCCAGCCCCCTTTCCTCAGGAACAGGGACAGCCCCTTCAGGGGGTGGCCTCGCCTCCTACACGTAAGCTTTTTGGTCCTGGCTTCTCTCCAGAGAGGGAAAAAGCAAGCAGTGTCTCTGGCTTCCTGTTCTACCAAAACACAAGGGGCACAGATGAGTCAGACTGTCAGCCTGTCCCTCCTCCACTCCTTCCCACATACCCTCCACACCCTGTCCCCGCTCAGCCCCTCCCAGAAGGGCCCTCATGGTGACGGCTACTGGAACCCACACTCGGATGGCTCTTTCAGCTGCCCAGGGGGAGAGCCCACAGGCCCCTGTGCCTAATCACCAGGGGATGATTCATCCCGGGGGGCCTTTGCCAGTGGTGGCCGGCAGCACTGTGATTCACCGCACTTTCTCCCAGCCTCCAGGAGACCCCAACCGCTTGGCCTAGAGCAGCGGAAAGAAGTCTGTGTTGGGAGGTAGGAGGCCTGGCCCCTAATTCTGTCTCTGCCCCCAGTACACCGTGACACTGTGGCCAGCCACTTCCCCTTGCAGGTTGGTTAAATCAGAAGTGTGATCCCAGGGCCAGCAGCATCTCTATCCCCTGTTAGAAATGCCAACTCTCAGTCCTCACCCCAGCACTACTGAGTCAGAAGCTCCAGGGGCAAACTGTGATTCTGATGGCCTTTGACAGCCACCAGGCCAGATGATCTCCAAGATTTGATGTTCTATAATGGAGAAAAACGCTGAGCTCCCTCCCCAGATTTCATTTTTTTGTCTTTTTGTTTTTTGGCTGCATTGGGTCTTCGTTGCGGTGAGCGGGCTTTTCATCGCGGTGGCTTCTCTTGTTGCGGAACATGGGCTCTAGGCACACAGGCTTCAGTAGTTGTGGTGCATGGGCTCAGTTGTTGTGGCTCGCGGGCTTTAGAGCGCAGGCTCAGTAGTTGTGGCGCCCGGGCTTAGTTGCTCTGCGGCATGTGGGGTCTTCCCGGACCAAGGCTCAAACCCGTGTCCCCTGCATTGGCAGGCGGATTCTTAACCACCGTGCCACCAGGGAAGTCCCAATTTTGTAGTTTTGAGCCATGACTTGGGCATGCCTAACTGCCAGTCCCAGTTTCCTCATCTGCAAAGTCCAGCACTCTCCAGCTGCCTCAGCGCTGACTCTGTCTTCCTCATTTCAGCTTTCTACACTGCCAAGTACGGGTACAAGTTGTGCCTGCGGCTCTACCTGAATGGGGACGGGACGGGGAAGAGGACCCACCTGTCCCTCTTCATCGTGATCATGAGAGGCGAGTATGATGCTCTGCTGCCGTGGCCTTTCCGGAACAAGGTACGGGCCTGGGGGACAGTGGGGGGCGATGGAGGAAACCTGGGTCCTGGTCCTGATTTAGCCATGAACTTGCCTGTGTGACCTCGGCAGATGCTTTGCCCTCCGTGCTGTCAGTTTCCCCTCATAAAACAAGAGCCTGAGTTCACATCTAGTAGCCAAGGCTCTTTGCTGCATTCTGAGTCTAGGAGCTAAAATGTTTGGACCAGCGACCCTGGAAGACATGTAGAGGTGAAGTTCACATGGTGGGTGAATAAGGAAAACTTCTTGGAGGAGGTCCTATGGGGCTAGCCTGAACTGACAGCATTCTCAGAAAAAGGGAAGGAGGAGGCAGATGCCTCTGCACACCTTTTAGAATGGCCAAAATCCCAAACGCTGACAACACCCAATGTTGGCGCGGATGTGGTGCAACAGGAACTCTCACTCACTGCTGGTGGGACTGTAAAATGGTGCAGCCACTTTGGAAGATAGTTTGGCGGTTTCTTACAAAATTAAACCTACTCTTATATGTGACCCAGAAATCACACTCCTTGATATTTACCCAAATGCGTTGAAAACTTACGTCCACACAAAACCGCTGCAGAGATATTTACAGCAACTTTATTCATAATCGCCAAAACTTGGAAGCAGCCAAGATGTCCTTCAGTAGGTGAATGGATAAATAAGCTCTTGTAAATCTAGACAGTGGAATATTATTCAGTGCTGTAAAGAAATAAGCTACCAAGCCATGAAAAGATATGGAGGAAGCTTAAAGGCATATTACTGAGTGAAAGAAGCCCATCTGAAAAAGCTAGATACTGTATGATTCCAATTATATGACATTCTGGAAAAGGCAAAACTGTGGAGATAGTAAAAAGATCAGTGGTTGCCAGGATTTCGTGGAGGGGAGGAGAGATGAATAGGTGGAATGCAGAGGATTTTTAGGGCAGTGAAAATACTCTGAATGGTATTATAATGATAAGATTCACGTCCTTATACGTTTGTCCAAACCCATAGAATGTACAATGCTAAGAATGAACCTTAAACTAGGGACTTTGGGTGAATATGATGCGTCAACATAGGTTCATCAACTGTAGCAAATGTACCGCTTTGGTGGGGATGTTGACAGTGTAGGAGGTCGTGTGGGGATATGTACTCGGAAATCTCTGTGTTTTCCATTCAATTTTGCTGTGCACCTAAAATTGCTCTGAAAAATGAAGTTTGTTAAAAATGCTTAAAAGGGCCGCCAGAGGTGGGAGTGTGGCAGGGATTCCCTGCAGGTGAACGGCGGCAGCAAGGGAGTTGGGGAGGGAAGGGGAGGGTGTGAACTCCACACCTCAGCTGGGTGGAGGAAGATAAGGGCGAGCAGGTGGGGTGGAAGCGGTAGTGCCGCAGTGGTCTGGCTATGAGTCAGTAGGTCAGTGGTTCCCATATGTGGTGGGGGGATTTTCAAAATACTAATGACTGGGTCTCACTACCGTAGATGGTGAGGCGTGAGCATCGGGAATTTTCAAACCTTCCCAGGGAATTCTAAAGTGCAGCCAAGTTTGAGAACTGACTGCTGCAGTGGGCGTTGGGCATTTCAGTGACGTGTGCCAGGGAGGAGGCTGTGTGTCACTTTGAGATCGTTGGCTTCTCGGAGGCACACGGGGCCCCTGTACAGACCAGAAGCTGGGTTCGTGTTTCAGGGTGTTGATTGCCATCTGCTCAGTGGAAAGCCTGTCTGCTCTCGCCTGGGAGGGTCCAGCTGTGTTTGAAGGATCAGACAGACATCTCAGTGCAGGAAGGGACATCTTGGGTTATGGAGTCCAGCCTCCTTGTCTGGGCTTAGTCCCCCCTTTAGCCCCCAACAGCCAACCACAACTGGCAGTGGCATCTGAATTCCCCCTTCCTGTTAGAACACCTGAGCTCTAATTGTGGGACACCCCTGAAGCCTGCTCACGGTACCAGGTGCTTCCGTTTCCGGGCTCTTCCTGTACGCCATGTGTGGTCCTTACGTGTTTCTTTGACTCCTGATCAGTGTGAGCTCAGGGTTAGAGGGGCTGCACGGGTGACAGGCACAGACCCTGTCCCTGACCTCCCACCGGCCCCTGCCCCGCAGGTCACTTTCATGCTGCTCGACCAGAACAACCGTGAGCACGCCATTGACGCCTTCCGGCCCGACCTGAACTCAGCATCCTTCCAGCGGCCCCAGAGCGAAACCAATGTGGCCAGCGGCTGCCCACTCTTCTTCCCCCTCAACAAGCTGCAGTCGCCCAAGCATGCCTACGTGAAGGACGACACCATGTTCCTCAAGTGCATTGTGGAGACAAACGCTTAGGGCCGGAGGGGCCGAGCAAGCCGCACCCGGGTTCCGAGGGAGCACCCGCTCAGATGGGGGTTCAGCAAGATGACTGAGGTCCCGCCCTTGGCGCCCAAGATCCCAAGGCACGATGATGGGCCGGGGCTGGCATGATGTGAGCCGAGCTGACAGATTGACCATGGCTAGCCATCAGCTTAGTGTGGCAGGACCTTGGACTGGGCCCACAAAGGCAGAGGGTCCTAAAGGAGGTGGTGCAGGACTGATCCCCCTGCACTGACCGTGCAGCACTGGAGCCCTGACAGCCACCCGGCCCTGAATGTTGAGATGGACTCCGGCCAAGATGGGGAGGGTGTGGGGACCAGGCTGGGGCGTGGATGGGGAGCTGGAGGTGTGGGACCTCAGCAAAGAAGCTCCAGGAATGGGAAGACCTCTGCAGGCCACCATGGAGAGTGAGCTTGCTCTCGTCCTGCTTGGAATCAGAACCAGGGCCAGGGGGTGGAAGTGACAGGTGCCAGTGCGAATTCAGTCTGTCCCAGCCTGGACCGAGTTCCCCAGCACTGGAGGTGAACAAGCAAAACCAGGGGGCTACACTGCAGGGAGGGCATCAGATGGGGGGGAGGGGTGGTTTTGAAGACCTTCATGGTTCCTTCCAGCCCAGAGTCTCTGACTCTAGGCCTCCTGGGCCAGATGAGGCCTAGTGCCGCAGGGGGTCTGGAAACATTCAGGAGCCCGATGCCCTCCAGTTTCCTGACTCACCTTCAGTACCGCCAGGTGGGCTGAGCTGACCCGCCCGGCACCTGCCACCCTGGGCCCGGCAGTCTGCTTACCCTCCACGCAGAGCCACGTAGAGGCCCTGCGTCCTGCGCGTCCCCCAGCTGAGCGCCCCTCCACCTTCTCCAGGTGAAACCAAGTCCCTATTAGCTCCCAGAGGCAGCTGGAAGGAGCGTGGAGAAGGAGAGGGGCACAGACTCTCCTCGCTGCCTGCCTGGGGGCCCCACTCTTGGCCATTTCCAGAATCCCGTGTCGCCCGTTGAACGAAGGCAACCACATCTCTAGTTGATGGGTCAGGACCGCTGAGCCACCCGCAGATGTTGACCTTTTATATGTATAAAACCAAAGAAAGAATTTTTTTAAATCTCTTTTGCACTTTTCATAAAGGGTGTGGTTGTGGGGGTTGGTGGTGACTTGTGAGCCCTGGGTGGTGCTGCCAGCTTTGCAGGTGGCATCCAAGGCTGGTGTGCTGGCAGGAACATGCCTCTCTGCCTCAGTCTTCTGTCTGTAATGGGGGAACCGCCCCAGCCTGCCTCCCTCGCTGAGTTCTGTGACCTCAAAGGAGATGCTACACAGGAGAGGCTAGAGAGAGAAAGGCCCGGGCACCACTGCCCACCTGGCCTGGCCTGGCTGCGACCCATGCTTGTCTTCTCACCTTGGAGGTCCCTACACAACCAGTTCCTGTAGGGACCCTCGCCCGTCTTCCCAGAGCCCTGAGGCTGCACGTTGCCGCTCAGAGATGCAGGGCAGGTCCCCCGCTCCTCTCCCCACCAGGCTTCCCTGCAGCTTACTCTTCCTCTATTTGCCAAGGCTGTGATGGGCTTCATGCCTCACACCTTCAGGGTTCTCATCTGTGAAATGGGTCAGCAGCCCTGCCTGTCCTCTCTAGCCCAGCGTTTGTGAGGATGATGCTCACATAAGAGGTGACGGAGCAGCACAGCCCAGTGGGATCAGTATATCAGAAAACCCTGACCCACCCCTAGTCCAGACCTGGTATCCCATCATGCCTCAGCCTCTTCATTTACAAACACGGGGAAGCATCCTGCCTGGCCCTGCCCAGCTCACAAAGTTTTCACGAGGCCCAAATATGATACCCGAGCCCTAGTGCTTTGTAGTGTAATGGCATCTTGCCACACGTGATAGGCTACAAATGTGTCAGGGCTTCTTTTTCTCGTCCCCGCTGCTGACAACCTGTCATGAGGCTGACTTGCTTCCTTGATGTGTGTAGGCACAAAGGTCTGGCCCAGCAAGTGATGGGGACATCTGTCTCAAAGCTGGTGTCCTGGCCAAAAAAAAAAAAAAAAATCATCCCTACTCACTAAGCTATCAAGCGATTTGTGGGACAAGCACTACTAGAGACAAATATCACTCTGTCCCTTTCATCGCTTATGTCTGATGGGAAAAGACACTCTCTTCAGACACTGTGAGCTGCAGCCATTTTTTCGGTAAAGCTTTATTGAGAGCTACTGTGCTGGCCCCTAGGGCGTGGGGAAGATGTGCACCCTACCCTCAAGAAACTCTTAGTGCAGTGGGTGAAACAGGTATAAGTAGCTCATTGAAACTGATACATAAGAGAGGCTCAGAGACAGCACAGGAACTCAGATCCGTTGGTTGAAGCACGGAGGGCTTCCTGGAAGAGGTGGCCTGTAAACTCACCCTTAAAATATTTTTGAGATGCAGAGAATAGGGGTGTGAGGGACAGTAAAGACCCAGAGTTGGGATGCAGTCTTGCCCTCAGGTAAGGTCTGGGAGGCGGAACCGCGGAGGGGAAGGCAGGAAGGCAGGATGGGCTGGAGCACAGAAGGCATCTAAGGTGGTCCCAACTGCCCGAAAGTAGCAGCACTGGGTGGGAGGTTCCCAAATCAACCTGCGTGTGACCTTTCAGGCTGTTACCAGCAGGATGAGACGATGATTTGAAACCGTTACTAATTTACCTTCCACCAAAGCCCTATGTTAAGTGCACCAAACACCTGATGTCTTACTTCTTACAGACGATTCAAGAGGAGGGGAGGCAAGATGCAGGCAAAGCTGCTGTTTCATTGGATCCTCACAAAACCCTTGTGAGGCAAGCATGGTGTAATCCCCTCTTAGAGACTGGGAAACTGAGGCCAGAGAAGCCAGGTGCCCTGCCTAATGTCAGGTGGGAGAAAGGGAGGCAGTGGAATTAGAAGCCAGGTCTTTGCTTCTAGTTACTTTCCTTCTTTTAGATTGACGAGGGATCTTCAGTTCCTTTTGTGTCTTCAGCCAAGATGAAGTCACATCTTCACGGGAAGCTCTGGGAGGCAACGGGTCCCTCTGCTCCCAGCCAGAGGGCCTGCCCGTGGGAACCACAACGTCACCCCGATGGTGCCCAGGAGGGGCGCGTGAGCACAGTCAGCAAAGGGAACGTTTGCTGTCACCCGGCGGCTCACAGGCCTCCTCGGGGGTGTCCACAGGTGATCCTTGGATCACCCTGAGCCATATGGATGACTATTTATGCCTTTAATTGTTCATTTCTGATTGTAAGAGACACATACTCATGGTAGAAAAACTGGAAAACTACAAATGTAGTATACAAAAGGAAGTAAGAATCAGTCATGAGCCCAGTGTCCAGAGAGTACTACTAGAAACATCTTAATAAATTTTCTATGTCTTTTTGAAATAGTAGATACAAACACACACACACGGACTTTTAAAAATGCATTTAGATCATACTAATTACAGCTTTATGCTCTCCTTTGTTCACTTAACACCCCCTTATTCCCATTCTTCCGTTAGCCCCTGTTCATAGGCGAAGCCACGGAAACTAAGAAGAGGGAGATAATGTGTTCAAGCCCAATCTGAATCAGTGGTGGGATCAGGATTCACACTTTCGATGTGATTCACACTCAGATGGAGAAACTGAGGCACCAAGAGGATCAGCCTGTCTGAGGTCACGTGACTGCAGGGCTCCTGGACTCTTCTCTGCCTCTCATCTGGTGTCTGGGCAGGGCTCCCAGAGATCTCAGGAGAGGATTTGCTCTGTGGGTCTGAAAAAGACCGTGGGTCCAGAAGCCAGTGGGCGGGATGCTGTGCCCACCTGCGCCTGGGAGAGTGATGCTTCCCGTGCTTTCAAGCAGCTGTACCCCAGTGGAGCAGACAGGACCCACTTCCCCTTACTGACCCCTGCTCCCCTACTGAGCTCCAGAGCAGAGACTTGCTAAACCTCCGTTTCTACTTCTGCATGAAGGTGAAAATCCTAGCCTCACAGTGTTGCTATGAGGATGCCAAGGTTGTGGAAACCACTAGTTTTGGACACTGTGGGGTCCCAGTCTAATAATAACAGAAACAAGAACCCCAAACAGTCATGGAGTGCCGAGCCTACCGGTGGACACTGAGCTGAGGGCTCACAGGCGGCATTGCATGAAACTTGCATAAAAACCCCAAGAGGAGGTGTGATTATTATCACCCCTATTTTATAGAGGAAACCCAGGCTCTGAGGTCACCCACCCAAGGTCACACAAGTGCCGGGAGCCAGGACTTGGACCCAGATCAGTCTATGCTAGATTCAAACCCTTAGCCCATGACGTGATCAGCATAATGTTGTGGAAATGGTACAGAAAAAGGTGAGATCGGTTTTAGGTCTTCACAGACTGCAGGTTCATTTTTAAACAAGCATAACAATGTTGAGAACTACAGCTTATTGAGCACCTACTTTACTTGCATTACCTGCAAGTACCACCCTTAATATTGATAACTGATCTAGGAGGAAGGCACTGTTGTCCTCACTTTATAGATGAAGAAACAAGCTCAGGGAGGCCAGGCAACTTCCCCAAGGTTACACAGCTAGTAGGCAGGTCTCTGCCTCCACAATGAGAGGTTTTACCCATGGTGGTGTCCTCTCCAGTGCTTCGGGGAGCAGGAGAGGGTCAGATGGATGCGATGTCCCTTCTGGACCAGCCACCAGCCCTTCTTCCCCAGGGGAGATGGGCCTGCCTGGAGCACTCCACCTGGCGGGGCCTCTTGGGTAGGATTGACACAGGCCACAGGGAAGGGGAAGGATGAAATCAGGGGAGCTGCTGGTGGGCCACTGAGCCTTTGCCAGGAGCTGGATCTCATTTGCTGCCTTGGCATCTGGGACTTGTGTTCATTTAAGCAAAGCACATTCATGTGGCACAGTTTGGGGACCATTCCAGAGAGGCTGGGATATTACAGTCATCTGGCTGATGACATTTCTTCCTTTTCGGGTCCTTTCCTCAACTCCCACCTGTCTCAAGGCATTTCCTCCATAGAAAATCCGGGGTGTATGGTGCGAATGTCATCGTAGCTGTCGCAGCCAATCCTGGTAAGGCAGGGAGGTGAAGGTCACCCAGCAGGTCAGTGGCTCGGCTATGGTGGCCTGTGATTCCTCTCTGGTGCGAGGAGGTCAGCTGAGCCATCGTCCCTCCCCGCCTGTTGCTCTCACCCTCCTGCCGCCCTCTGGGCAGTTGGATCCATTCTTCCAGCAGTAGGGCCCCTGTTCTCTTTGTACAGATGAAAAGCAGGAGCTCAGAGAAGAGCAACTCGCTCGGGGCAGCCAGGTGCCTAGAGGCAGAGCCTCCTAGGACCTGGGTCTGCTGCCACACACCCCTGCCCTTGGGCTGTACCCACTAACATGTCGACTTCAATATTGAAGGTTCTCTCTATGGAAACAACTGATTTCTATCCCCGATCCCTCTCACAAGCACAGCTCTATCTGGGGAGAAATCCCAGGGCTGGCAATGGAGTGGAATCCACCTGGGACGTGAGTGTCTGGGACTTGGGGGGGTGGGAGAAAAGCTCCTCTCTGCTCCTACTGTGCCCCCTGGGGAGCTGCCTGCCCCTCGGATGTCTCCTGGGGGCGGGGTGGGGGTATGAGTGCACTCCCAACCCCCTAGACCATTGAGTGTCCGGTGTTCAGCCTGCCAGGGACTCTGTACTCTTGCTGGGGGACCTTGGGCCAGTCACCTGCCATCTCTGAGCTCACATTCCCAGGACTTCCCTGGCAGTCCAGTGGTTAAGACTCCATGCTCCCAATGCAGGGGGCACGGGTTCGATCCCTGGTCAGGGAAGATCCCACATGCTGCATGGTGCGGCAAAACACCAACAACAGAAAAACACACAAAGGCAAATCTGAGCTCACGTTCCCATCTGCATAGTGGACAGGTGGGTGGGGACAGATACAGTGCTGACCATGTGGGATTCTGGGCGCAAAGAGTCAGACCGAAGGAGGCCCTCTTCCCCACGGCACGTGAGCAGCATGCCCTGGTCAGGGCATGAAGATCACTTCAGACTGTCTCCCCGCAGCCTCACTTGCATTTGATCAAGAGCAGGTGTTGGAGTCCAATAGTCTAGTTCAAGTCCCAGCTCTGTCACTTAGTAGC